TCAGTGGCTGAGCGTGCAGGTGGCTGAGCGTGCAGGTGGCTGAGCGTGCAGGTGGCTGAGCGTGCAGGTGGCTGAGCGTGCACGTTCTGAGCGACTGCAGCCAGACCCTTTTGGGAAAACTTGCTGGATTTAAGGCGGCCTAATTTAAATGGGCCTTATCTTTGTTGAGGGGCTTCCAACGTGGGGGGCTGTGAGATTATTTCCAGAGTATTAAAAACGTGAAAACAATTATCACAGTCACAACTGTGTCACAGACTGGGGGGATCGCAAGTCCAGCTGAACTCCCAACTTTGTGATATAGACCCCAGAAAGATATTAGCAGTATTCTTGCCAATCAGACAGTCACAGTCTCCAATCAGTAATGCTCAATCCCTTCAAGTTTCTGAAGAAAGGGCTTGGGGCATGGGAGGGGTGTGGGTATTTACATTAATATTATTGGCTAACGGGCTGTGCAAATGGGACCGCATGGGAGGGGTGTGGGTATTTACAGTAATATTATTGGCTAACTGGCTGTGCTAATGGGACCGCATGTGAGGAAGCAGGGGGGCAGCATAACCACACGGGAAACAAGGCGAGCCTCCAAAATCACACCCAAACACATGAGAGGGTGCTCAGGCAAGCGTGTAGGCGGCCGCCCACAGTGCAGCGGACATTGTACAGGACACTTACGCGCACTCATACAGTACAGGACACTTACGTGTTAGAATTGCAGAATTATGTAAATCTGTAACAAATACACACATGAACACAGAAAATTTGATAGGAATAACCGGGGTTGGATTTAAGATTTGATCTAAAAATGTATTATTCCTTCCTTCACCCTGAGCGTACTAAAGCCACCTGATATTTTATAACACAAAGCGCAAAAGGTCTACATGACCAGCAGGTGGAGCCATTGCATCACAATTAGATTTGGGAGGCATCGTTTGGAAAGCTTACCTGCACGGAGGCATGCCGGCGAAATGTTTTTTTTTCCTGTATATACTGTTGGACACGTCTACGAACATATTACAGTAAACATTATCGGTTATAATACTGTTGCGTTAAATGTAACAGAAAATATTCATAAAAATAAAAATTGTGCCTTAGTTCCAGTTTCCATAATCCCCGTAAATGCAAGCTGCTGTTTTTAACAAATGAACAGTTTCCCCAGTTAAAAAAACGACTTAAAGCTACGTCTTAATATGTCTCGGAGCCATGCGTCAACGTCCACGCTGGCGGGGAGAGACTTGCTAAATTATATATGCAACATTAATAACGTAGATCGAAAATTCGCCATGTATGCGGCATTCTACGCGCCACGCTTTCGGTGCTAGAAAACGACATTTGACAGCTTTCTGCATTGCGTGTGCACCTTTGAGCCCGATTTTTCGTAGGTGATCCTATATAGACTGAGTAAAATTAATGTATTCATCACGCAAGCCGTGCAGACCTCTTACTGGTGTCAGGTAATAGTTTAGCTATATTAAAATAAAGATGACGTCTTACTGTGTGCAGCGGTACGCCTTTTATATGATAGTTCATCATTACATATATAAGTTCCTTGGGTGTCTCAAGTCACCCTAAATGAGAAGACATTTTAGGGTACACATACATTACCTGCTGGAGGTGGTATAGGATGTCATCTGTAAATGAAGTAACGTATACCGGTACAGTAGGATTTCTTGTGAAACTTACCTTAAATTTACTAACACAGAAACGATGGGATTTTTGAAGTGAATCCTGTATATGCTGACTGCACAACACAAGTCTCTTTTTCTGCAAACTGGATTCAGAAAATATCCAAGAATACCCCAGGGCCAATTACCCTTTTGGTGGGTACACACATCATGCTGATCCCAAGTGAGCAGTAGATAGTCAACAGGAAACCAGATTAGAGCTGAATCACACAGAGTTAGGTAGTGACAGATTAATCCATTCACTGCCTTCCCCAAAGCGGTTCAAGTCACCTTTATCCGTCAGTCACTCAATTCACGAGGACTGTCCCATAAGTTATTTAAGCTGCACACAAACATTTTGAAACAATCATTGAAGGCTATAGAGAGCCACCTTTTGAACCGCAAACATTGATTGGGTTGGTTTGTCATTAACCGGTTTAGTGGATTAAGGAAAATTAGGTGCATTGCAGACCAGTGTAGTGACAAAGTGAAAGTAAAAGGCATGTTTTAGATATGCAGAGCGACCCCTGTGTGAGGAGGTGACAAGCAAGCAGACATCAGGGGGTAACAGCCCAGGTGAGAGGGAGACTGCAAAGGTTAAAATCACACACACACACACACACCCCACTGCATCATCCCCAAAATGGCTGGATGCTCAATTTATTGGTTCCAAATGCATTTAACAAAGTACACAAAACCCCCTGTGTGTTTTTCCCCTCATTCTTAGTTCTTAAGTTTTGTTCTTCCACAACATTAATATAAACAGCTATTTAGCAACAATGCAGCAATGGGGGAAAAGCACTGTATTCAAAACAAAAAGAAAGAAATAGTATATAATATAATTTAATCTATATGGATGTACAAAAGATGAATGAGGAAAGGTTAGAAAGCTGGAAACAGGGAGGGGTTGATTATTACGTGAGTGTTTAGGTCTCTACATGAACAGTCAGCATGAGGAAGCAGTCATGCTTTACTGGGATGTAACAGATTGCTGAAGGCTGCAAGTGCCTAAGGGTGTTTAAGAGCAACACAGCAATGTGTGCACAGGGGGGGGGGGGGCACGAAAACCGCAGACTCAAACACTCTGCTTCTAGTCACACGATGGTCCCAAACAAAACTAAACGAAACGAAACGAAACAAGAACACAACCTGGAATAGAGTAATTTACAGCAGCTGCCTTCCGCAGAGGATGGTTCGGCCAGGATGGAGGCGCGTCTTTTTGGAAAGGTACTCCGGGCTTGCGGGCCGCTATCGTGCGGGGTGACATGGGGAGCGCGTGTTCGCACGCCTGAGCGCCCGCCCAGTGTGCTCTGCTCACGCCTTGCCGCCACGTCACTTGTGCTCCAGTCGCAGGAGTTGCTCCTTACCATTGACGGTCAGGGATTTGAGCTGGCCGTCCTCTTCCACCTCCACGCGCTCCTGGCCATTCTCGACGATCCTGCGGGAGGGATTCGGGCGGAGGGGACACCGGCACGGTTATTTCAGGTGGCAGTGCGCACTGAACTGGGGTCATAAGGTCAAACCACGAAGCCAAAACAGACAGGTTTAAAGCAGGAAATGACTTCCGACCAGCAAGGCCAATTTACGTAATATTAAGCAAGTCAATTACAAAAGGTCCTGGTATTAAGTTCCCGCCAATGCTGAAACGACTGCCCCATTGGGCAGACAGTGGGGCCCATCCAGTACCTTTTTGTGGTGATTTTTCTGCCGTTGATGAATTTGGTGGAGGTAGACACCTGCCGGAAGTTTCCCATGCCACCGCCGCCACCCCCGCCGCCGCCGCCACCACCGCCACCGCCGCCTCCACCAAACGACGAGGAGGAGAATGAGGTGAACCCCCCGCTCCCCAGCTGGCCAAAGGAGGAGAAACCTGTGCGGGGGAGGAAGAGGCAGGCCGCGGCCATTGGCCCAAAGTGGAACAGCGTCGACCTATCAGCACTCGGGTCAGCATCCACTCTCAATCACTAGCAATGGCCCAATGGACATTCACACATCAGTGGAGGACTAGCAGCTGCATGTTAAACCACCAGCGGGATGATGCTGACTGGTCAACACTCCCCACAACGCCTGGCCGGCCAACGTCATCACCGACGTCCAGCAACACCGACACGCGACTTCATCCCGAGACCAGCAGCACCCAGACACCAAAGTAAACATCTGAACACTGCTGGTTTACAGAAACATTTGTACAGAATGGCCAACGCAGTAAAATTTACAGATGAAGTGACCCGAAAAAGCAAAGCTATGCATTAATCCCTTAACACAATGATGGGTAACAGTCTGCTACTAGGTGATTAAAATTCCATCATAGATTTCCATTAGAGCATGTCTTCCGGGACCTTTGGATGAACACAAAGCAGCCCCTCCGAGCACAGCGGTCACCAGCGGCGGGGCCTCACCTGAGTCAAACGAAGAGAAGCCGGCGCCGAAGGCAGGGAAACCTCCAAAGCCCTGGAAGAAGGAGCCGCCAGTGGTGCGGCTCCGGCTCACACCGCGGTGCCGACTGCGCCCCGTGCCGAAGAAGTCACCAAAGGGGTCGAACGGGTCGTCGCCTTTGCGGCGAGTGCGCGGGGGAGGGAAGGGGAACACGGTGAGACAGCTTTGCATCGTCGTGAGCGTGATGGTCAAGCACAGACTGCTGGGAACTTTGGCACCATCTGAGAGCTTCATAAACCTCAGTGGTTACTCTGCCACAGAAATTACTGCAAATTTAGTGTCAGATATCTGTACAGCTTGGTACATCTTTTTTTTGGCTGCTGAGACTGTAGCCATGGCTTGCTTGTGTGCAAGGGGTGCCTCTTGTTGAACTCTTGAGGTAACTTCTTAACCTCAATCAGTCTAGTGAATGACTGTGGAATCTTGGACAAAACAAACCGGCAATAAAACAAGGATTTTAATTGCTCTTTATTTCCCCTTTATTAGGCCTCTATGACCAATAAGGATGGTTACAAAAATGATGGACGACAAACAAGAATTTCCCCACCTACCCACAGCAGTCAGAAAGCACTCTGATGGCACGATGAATGATCAGGAATGAGGTAATTGCTCCATACTGTTTGGGGCTACCCAACATATCCTGGCAATGATAAATAAATACTTTCCTATTGTTGTCAGCTGTTTTTGGCTCACCAGTTTGCCCCCCTGAAGACTGACAATCCAGTTTGGAGGAAATCACATATGCTGTGTCAAGCAGAACGTCTAGGAGGTAAAATGAGTGAGCGACCCATTATTCATACCGTTTCACTGAGAAGCTCATAATTCCAAGCACTAATATGCTAGCAAGGGCTTGAACTGTGGTGATAAAAACACCACTGACTGAAGCCAAAGGCCAAGCTCTCCAAGACTCCCTGACTCTGAAGCTCTTTCTCCAGGCTTCTCCTCTGGAAACAGACACATGACCCCCCACCCTGCATGATGCCTTGTGCCAGTTTCCATTTAAAGCCCCTTCTAATCAAGCCACAATCTAGGCCAGTGCAGAACACGTCACCGGTGCCTCCAGACTGCACCAGACCCCATAGTTCTCATACCAGCAGCATAGAGTAATGGGCAAGCGCTCACCTACCAGTTCACCTTTTGCCATCTTAGCCAGTTTTTTCACCGGTTTAGTTCAAGTTAGATCAGTTCTCAAATACAACAGCAGGGCCCTGTCTGGGGCTTTAAGTGGCCGGCTGGCTGCTTCCAGGTTCGACACACTGCACATTCCTTCATGCCCAGTTAACGACACACCAAGAACCCATCACATTCCAGAATGCCCCAGTTCTTTAGACATCCCATCTCTATTTATAGCAGTTCCGGGAATTGGTTCCACTAATTAGTCCAATTAAGTCACTGTGACCTTTAGTCCAAGCACACAGCAAAAGATGTAAATATCTAAGGTGCATCCCATGAACACTTATGGGACCCAAGATTACCGAGGACTGCGATTTGAAGATACCCCAGTTTAACACATGAAGGAATTGCACAAGCAGTGGGTGTGGCAAGGCGAGTGACTACCAGTCATAAGTGCCATGACGAGCATGTGAAAGTAACCAAGGCAACACTGAGAAACCATCACAACCTTGTGAGCATAGACAGGACAGAGGGGCGAGCAGCTGCTGTAACCTGCACATGGTTTAATTATAGAAGCACCTCTAGAAGGGGAGTCTGACTGTATCCCAAGTCAGCGTTCAGACTCGCTTGCTGTGAGATAGCAAGGCTTACATGCCCGCCAACAGGCAAAGCAGTTAGCTCCGATTTGTAATTTAACAGGGGCTCAGACATCGTGTTCTGGGGCTGTCATGCTGACCTGACGGCCGCAAAGGTCAGCTGGCCACATCTGCAGGACCACTGCTGGGTAGTGGCATCAATCCCCCCTGGCTGTTTCCACGGAGGCTATTTCCATCACATTCCACAGGAATGATGCAGCCACTAGCATTGGCACTGGCTAACGGACCGTGCGCTTCAAAAGGTCTCCTTATTTAGAGATGCGCGTGTTTGTGTGTACACACATGCAGAACAGATGCCATTCTTTAACTGAGAACAGGGCACCAATTCACAAAGACTTACCTTTAACGATACATTAATTACCAAAAATCAGTAGTCTGAAAGCAACAGATGTTTGTTTCTAGAATTCTCTATTTTTGTCTATTGCTCTGTTTTTAGAATTCTGCTAGCAAGCTAATGGTATTAGCCACACAAAACACAACCTTACTCTATGATCCTGGGCTTACACTGACGAAAAGCTACAAACAAACAAGAAAAAAGAACAAACAAACTTGTAATGCGGTTACAGTAGCTGGAGGTCCAGAGGAAATAATGTGCTTCAAACACCTGCTAACATATTCCAGCTAGTTCCTAACTTTCCAACAGTATTACTGCCATTACTAAATGGAGTTACTGAACGATGTTATGAAGACAGCAGAAACATAGAATAGGTGGGATGCTTCCTATCTCCTCGCTCATCTTAAAAATTCATGGTGATAAAGACAGACAATCCAGAGCTTCACTGGCCTGACACTGAAACTGTCACCAGCGCAAACTTCACAGACCTGAAACTGACCAAGCAAACCAACCTGAACATAGGCAATTGTCGCAACACAGCACTCGGGACGTGACACTACTGTGAATGCCTAAAAATAGATGTGCGTGAACGGAAAAACTAAGGGTTGAAGTGAGGCGTCGTATTCCACACTGGAACCCCTCGGCTGGCCGCTGTACAGCCTGCTCGACAGGAAAGTTCCACTTCCAGTAAGTAAAACCATGCTGAGCAATAACTAACCAGCAACATATCATCAGAGGGCTCTAGACGGGGAAAAACCAGCAATGAAACCTGATGCAGTGTCATTTTGAGGAATGTCTCACAGTCTCACTATATCTTTCTCTGCATGAATTCCTCACAGAAGTTGTGTATTACTGCCACATAAAGTTTAATGTTTAGTACAGTCAACACACAAAAACTCACCGAAGAAGTTAGCGAATGGGTCTCGTCCGCCAAAAAACTCCCTGAAGACATCTTCCGGGTTTCGGAAAGTGAATCCTCCACTGAATGGATCACCATAATGTCCTTAAGTGGGGTGGGGTGGGGGGGGGGCGTAAGTCAACATGTTACGGCACAGAGGAAGAGGCAAACCCAGAGAATCAAAAGAAAGAGCTATAAAAAACAGTGTGATTCTTCTTTATTAAAGAAATGTATTGAGGAGCATCGTATTCACAAAACTGGCTATGTTTGAGTTAGATTGCTGGATTACCAAATTCTCTAGGATTGAGGAGCAGCACCAACCCAACCAAACACTTACCTCCTCCACCACTTCCAGATAAGCCTTCTTTGCCGTATGCGTCATACAGGTTTCTCTTGTTGGCTGACAGACAAGGACAGCGAGACACAGGAGAGAAAACGGGACAATTATGACCCTGTTCAGAGTCAGGAACGAGATTGAGAGCTTCTCAAGGAAACACTCACTGCTTCGCCTCCACCTTACTCATTAGCACACTAGTTCACATCTTAACTGCTGAAACCCACCCAGGCTGCAACCCAAGGCCAATGACTCAAACCAGCACACTGATTCACCTATTTATGATCTATGTCTGACAGGACCTTGACTGACATCAGGCTGACAGAGCATCCCAACCCTCCAACAATTACATATTTGATTTCTTTAAGTAGTATCTTCTGTGCTTTTTTGCTAAGAAACACCAAGCAACCTCCTTGATTACACCAACTTTTAATGGACATGGTCCAACGAAGCACTGAGCACACAGGACACGTTCCGTCCCTATAATCTTCAACCTGTGAAGTTCTCACAAACTGATTCCACCACCCTATCCACAGGCTACAGCAGCTCAGCCCCACTGAACTCCTCTACAGTGTTTTTTTTTTTTTTTTTAGTGGCTGACAGCCTAATAGCAGATAATAATTTTAAACAGGCTACTAAGACATTAAAGGTTTTTAATACAAGCTGCAATCTAGTCAACTTAATGGTGAACCTCAGTGTCTTTGAGAGGTTGTCTAAGCTCCAGTGTGTGTGGAAATGCCACAGGAAACCGTACATTCCACACTATTAATTTTATCAGATAGTGACGTGTTTCATTCCTATTGCTGGGAGTGTTCAGACACTAGCAAAATAGAGAAGCCTAACACTCCCTTATTGAGAGAAATGTTTCGTTTTCCACGACAAGTCTGTTTTTACAGTTCGAGTTCAATTGGGGGCATTTGTGATGATGTACAGCGAATGTTGACCACAGTGGCGACAGTGAAAATCGAGAAGGATCGTTAAAGATCAAAAAAGCTTGCCGCAGGGCAACATTGTGAGCGGTCTTACAGCAGCTGAGACATGATGAGACAAGCTGAGGCAGAGTCCGTACTCGAAGGAAAAAATCTAAACGGCTGCTTGAGTGGCAGCAACCCACAGAGCAGACAGCCATTATCGATCAAAGGCACAGCATTCCATAAGGTCAGGGGGAAGCTATGTGCAAGAAGTGCAGTTTGAGAGCTCTGGTCTGACCCCATTCCCAACCTGAATCTGACAACCCGAATTCAAGAGCTGAATTTTACAACATGAATTTTTATTACTACATAGGCAACATAAATTCAAGTTTGGGAAATGAAGTCAAATTTGGCATTCAAATTCAGGTAAACATTCAAATTCAGGTAAAACATTCAAATTCAGGTAAAACATTCAAATTCAGGTAAAACATGCAAATTCAGGTTTGGGTATTTAGGTAACGAAGTTCAGGTTGGCGAGTCTGATTTAACACCATAAACCTGCACCATTGCACCAAATACACCTGAAATTCTTCAATACAACCAGCTACCATGCGGACAAAGGGCAACATTTGTTGAGAGGCTCCCAAAATGCACCGCTACGCACTGGTGGAGCAGCCACAGTGTAACCCACATTCATCACAGCCAAAAACCTTTGGCCTTTACTTGGAGATCTCACCATCTGACAGGACTTCATAAGCCTCGGAAAGCTCTTTAAATTTCCGCTCTGCTTCCTCCTTGTTTTCGGGGTTTTTGTCTGGGTGCCACTTTAATGCCAGTTTTCTGTACCTATACACACACACACACACACACAAACACATGAAGGTCAGTATAAATCACAGCGGTCAGACAGCATTTCAAACTTGAGCAATAACCCTAAACTATGACATACTATAACAGTACATCTGTATAGTTATTAATAAGTATCCAAGATCAAAACAGCTCAACACTGTGCATCTCTTTGCCAGTTGGGTCATGGCACCTGAAGGTTAGGACCATTATTATTATTATTATTATTCAAGGGCCATGTTGATCAGCCTCCAATAGTGTGGCTTCTAGGAAGCGCCTTAGCACACACTTTAAAATACTCTTCATGCCTAATGTTATTCATTTAGCAATATGGGGAGGCCAACTGTCCTTTCTAAGCATCAGCATGTGGAAAGTGCAGCCAGTCTCCCCTGGGATCACTAGTGAAATTATACAGCGCAGAAAAAAAACACACACACACACCACGGCACAATTTTTTGTTTCACTCGTTTCTCAATTTAAGGGGGTGTGTGTCTGTGAGTAATATATATTTCTTTTGAAAACTTCAGCCTCGTTCTTCTCTGATTCTCATTAATGAACAGCATCTTCCTTGCTTCTAGGAGCCTGATGTGGACTGTCCTAGCAATGCACTTCACAACTTCTCTTAACGTTTCCCATTCCTTTTGAAGGTCACTTGATGTCATCCTAAGATTCATGAGAAACTGTCAGATATCAGTCATCTCTGGCATTAGAACGTTGCTTCCGCCCTTTACCTGGCTGGTTTCTGGTCGTTCCCAGTGTCTCCTGCTTCACCTCATTCCTGTGAACTGCCATGTTAGAAATACTGAACCTGGAAGCAACCTGCAGTTCAGTGTGGCCTTCTGCCAGCAGAGCCACAATTAAACCAGGATTTGAAAATGCAGATTTGTTTAAAAATATAGAGTGGTCTCAATTGATTCCGTGGCTGTACATGAGTACATTCCCCACTAATGACACTGCTGTAATGAGACTGCATTTACAGATACAAAGCACAGGTGTTACAGGTGTCCATTCACTCATAAGAAATGCCATTAGCACAGTCACTTGTATACAACATGTTTTATGCAGAAGTAGCAACCGTTGCTCATCTAATAGAACAGATGCACCAGCAACACTGGCCAGATGGCGCCTGGCGTGCCCCCCAGCCATCCAGAAAATAGCTGTGGCGGAATTTAAAAAGGGACCTGAGAACTTGAACAGGAAACAAAGACTAACAATGGGTGACAGCCCTAGCGTGGTACACTGAGACTGATCCTGCAGGGAAAGCAGTTTTCTGAAGCCAGTGACCGGTCCGTGAGGAGGGGGGGAGGCGATACTCTGTACTGTCAAAAGGTGCAGAGAGGTGGATTAACTCCCCTACATGCGTCAGCAGATTAAGAATGCCAGCCTGTCCCCTTTGAAAACACCACATTGTAATTTCTTTCAGAGAAAACGAAAGTACGCTCTGAAGGATATGGCCACTAGACACACACAAGCCAGCCATGCACACAGAAAACAAAAATTCCAGTGCAATACTGGTTATGTTCAATGAATGAGGGGAACAGGTTAAAAACAAGAGGAGAGCTACCATTGCGGTTTAATACAGGCAAAAGACCAAACGCATAACTGACAGGAACAAAGGGAGTTAAACAAAATCAGCAGCGACATGTCAATACAGCACACCAGCACTCTAACGGCAGTTAATACCCGGGCACATTAAAACGACGGGAACCGAAAACTCAAGAAGTCACAAGAACAACCAGCTGACTTCTGTATCACAAAGCAAGATTTTCAAATGAGCTAGATAACTTGTTGGATCCAAGTTAGATAAGGCTAAAAGCAAATTAGCGAAGATCAAGTCCATTTTAAATATTACTTTGTGATACAGGCCCCTGATCTCCAAAAGTTTCACAAGGCATAAAAGGTACATAATGTATTATAATGAAACTGGCCAGACAGACACTGTAACCCTCTCAGGAGCCGGTCAGTACTTATTTTACCCATGAGCCTCAAAAGAGCACTAAATGTGGTTTACAGCCAAGCACCCATCCCGGAATACAAGGTACCCCAGGCCCATAGCAGCTCTCGCACAACACAAATCAGTAATGGAAAATCAAGATCACCAGGCGTTGTGCAATGACCTATGGTAAAGTTACACAAAAAAAGTTCGCCCATTCTCAGTGGCAGTTTCATTTATGTCCAAGATATAATTAGCCTACTGCGTCCTTCGCAACCTCGGCTGAAAGCATCAGCAGTGGATATTAATAGTATTTGTTGGACAGGGGTTGTGGACACTCACGCTTTTTTGATATCCTCCTGGGAGGCATTTCTAGGTACTCCTAATATCTGGTAGTATTCCACCATGGTTTGGCACAGCCTCTATCCACGATGGTCGTGACCTATAGAGAAAGAAAGTAGTAAGAAACAAGGGAGTAGCAGGTGGACATAAAAACAAAAACAGCAGGATGTTTATCGGACTCCATCCTGAACACACCCTACTCATAGCACGATGGCTATATGTCTGCAGAGGGTCAACACCAAAGTATTTAAGACTACATTACTATTGTTGTGAGTGTACTGAAACACAAGGACCTGGGGAAATGCTGCCAATGTAACAGTTTCATAACTGACATGCGGCACTCATCATCGCCTAAACCCACAGATAAAACAGTGATCCAAGTGTCGAAAAAAGATCAACGTTAGTCGCTAGGACTGGAAAACAATTCACATTTAAAGTTACAATTTGTAAGATACTTATGTTGGTGTTGTCCATAATTCTACATAATGTTTGGGGGAGGGGGGGCGTGTGGCTCAGCAGGTTAGGACATGTACTTGGAGGGGGGGCGTGTGGCTCAGCAGGTTAGGACATGTACTTGTGATAAGGATGGGAGGGGGTCATGAACCTCTGGACTGTCAATAGGTGGTTTGACCCTCCGCTGTTACCCCTAAACTTGCACCTAACGAAAACTGTGTTTCAATATGCATACTTGACCATTCTTGTATTCTCACGTGCTCATTTGAGGCCATCTTCCACTGGCAAAGTACAGTTCCAGTACACCAGAACAGAAGTATAGAGAACAGTAAAAAATCCCTGGATGTTGTCCTTGACCCACCCCAAATATCAAGGATGCATCAGTTGAATCCTCACCAATGAGAACAATTCCATAATTTATTGTGTCCCATGTTCATTCTTGGAAGACAAGTTAGCAAGAACACTCTTGCCAAGAACACAAGTACGTTCTTTGTGTTCCTGGTATTGATAATTACCCTATGCCCTTATCTTCCAGCATGATAAATATAACCTAATTTAGGTCAGTTTATGTAAATACAGCAGACTTGTTGAAATTACAGTAGATCATAAAGGTTCAAGCAAGCAACGGATAAAACCACAAAAAACCCAGAACAAACAAAATGGAAGAGAGCAAAATTTCTCCATAGCTTCGCTTTAGAACAGCAGGTTCAGCAGTCATCCAGCATAAAGGAGAGCACCTTGATGCTTTCTGGCAGCAGTGACAGTTGAATGGTGACAATTAACTGTTCAGGAACAGACTGACAATCTAGTGGCATCTTTAAATAAGAGATCAAACACTATCACAATAGGGCAGCATGTTTTCTTATTAGTGATACAGCACCTGAACACATTTTGCAATGTCAGCAGTTTCAATTAGACCACTGTAAAAACTTTTACAGTTTAGATTAAAAGGTGGTCAAAAATATTACTGTAATTTTTTTTTACCAAAGTACTTAATGTAAACTGCTTTCCCCTGTTTGTATGGCTGGTAAACATTGTATATCATTGCTTTTCCAGTTATCGTTTCCTGTATTTAAATTACAGAACGTATGGCATTAATGAGTATATCGCGACTAGTAAAAGCACAATGCAACATAAGAATATCAATAATATAAACAAAAAATCACAATAGCAACAGTTCTGGTTTCTTAAAGTCATTGAACTCTCAATACCACATTGCAATACTTAAGAACTAGGCCTTACTTCTTGCAGAAGCTTATGTGAAGCTTTATCAAGCGTTTTTGAGTTAATTGCCAAAGCCATCACCTGTCAGCATTGCTTTTTAAGTTCTAGAAGTGTATATGATTCCATTGCTATCAACTTCGCTGCTATTAAAAAAAAGATGTGAAGCCATAGAACGGTCCAAATCACCATCATGGTTGGTGACTCTGACCCAGACCTTGAACCCCATCTAACCTTGAATGAGGTCAGGGGATAATCCAAGGAAAGGAAACGATTAATTGGATTAAGGCAGGGGTCTCCAACTCCAGTCCTGGAGAGCTACCGTCCAGTAGGTTTTCTATCATACCTGGTTTCTGATGAGCCACACCTGTTCTCAGGTAAATACCAGGAGCAGGTGTGGCTCATCAGAAGCCAAGTGGGATAGAAAAACCTACTGGATAGTAGCTCTCCAGGACCGGAGTTGGAGACCCCTGCATTAAGGTAACTCGGATTTTTCAATATCACAATGCTAGTTCTCTTTTTAGCGGGACATATCACCATGGTAACTTGTGCTACAGGGCTAACCTGCTCTGAAGTAGGATAGGTCTCAGGATCACAGACCTCAAACAGTGCTTCTACCAATCAAAGGGAAGAAGTGGGTGTAACAAATGGGCTTTCCCAAACTCTCGAAATGGCCTGTCCATAAGAATCCTGTGACTGAATATCGGATGTACAGCTATGTTTACCGCAGTCTTCCAGCTGTAATGTCTTACAACAAGCAAGCCAGGCAATTTTTACTCACAGATCTTTGACGTCTACGGGCAGAGATACACACCGATCATTTCTGCGTTTTGAGCCCTTTTGCAATGTGTGCAAAACCTTGTTACTATCTACGAAAAGTGGCACTCTCTGCTGTAACAATATATTGGTTCAGCATTTTGAGTTGATAGTGACCCTTGCACACCCCATGGTTTTCCAGATTACAGTACAGGCAAATTTTAATTAATATTTAAATGTTTGCATGTGCACTTCATGTTCACTGGCTGGTGGTGAATGGACATAGTGCAATTATTAATAAAGATATATAGAAATACATAATCTGAAAATCAAGTGATGTGCACCATACCTCCATAGTCCATTGCTTAAACCACACTTTAAAGTAATTAGTTCATTTATTCTATACCTTATCACTTCGAATGGTGTAATTGTAAATGAACATCAACGTCGCTCTAATAAAATGTCAATATCTTTGTCTTCCGGAGCCAACAGACCCACGTTGTGTGTACGTGTATGTGGGTGTGTGAGTGATGGATAAAGGAGTATTGAATGGCTTTTGAAGAGTGACAAGTTTATTTAATAATGAATAAAAAAGGGGATTGTGATTATGATTTTTTTTACAAAAACCGCAAAGCACATTAAGAAATTAAGACAATTTTCTTAAAAACACTCAAACTGTACATATGCATTTTTGCCATCAGTCGTGCAGGACGCCTTTCTAGCTTTGCCAGCAGCCAAAGTGCTGCTGATTGTCGTTACTGATCTTTTGAATTCTTCATATTTCACAATAATTCTCGGTTCCACTGCACTAAAATACGTAAAATACGTAACCCAAACGAGCTTGATGGGCCGAATGGCCCCCTCTCGTTTGTAAATTTCTTATGTTCTTAACCCTGTTGTGATCCATGCTCACATGGCCGCCTGGTTATTGCACATGGCACTCTTTTATGGGCACGCGCTCAGGAAGTAGGCCTAATCGTGGCTTCAGTAAGAAAACATCACTTGATATAGTTTGCTGATATCGCTGTGATACCGTTTATCTCGAATTGCATGCGTTTTGTTTTGTCGAGCTGGAACTTATCTTTGAAGCCTGACTTCACCAGCTTTGTGAAACAGGCTCCTGGAAAGGGCCCATGACTAAAGAACCAATCCAGCTACATTCTCATTAAACGACTTTCGCTACTTATTCCTCCAGTCGTGACAAACCGTTAGTAATGATTTACAACGGTGAACAACCCAATCTGCTGCCCTTTGCCACTGGCAGTATGGCAGTCTGCTCTATTTTTAGTCTTGCAAGCCCTTTCCAGCCAGAGGGCATAACCACCAGAGATGCCCCTCTACACTGCCCCAGTCTCTTCTTTGTCCAGCACCAAGCAGCCCACAGCCCCCCTCCCCCCATTAAGCATCCTTACATTTCTACAACCAAAGTCACAAACAAAAACCTAATATTGTAATATGTATTTTAAATAGGGGGAAATAGCTATGCTTACGGCTAATAATACGGCTAATAGTTGTTCCAGATGCCAGTGCAGTGAACTTCCCCATCACAACATTTTTACATGATCAAATTCCTTTCTCAGGAGGTTCATCCCGCAAACTTCAGGTCACATACACATGTCCTGCACTGAGGAGCTTATTGCCCTCTAAGCAACAAACAATAAGTTGGTCTCCATGTTGCCCTGGGCCATAATAGGAGGGGGCATAAACAAAAAGGGCAAGGCTGGAAGAGGCCTACTTCCCAGCTGGCACCACACTGGCATCACACTGCACTCTGCCAGGGCTTTTCTTAGCCGGTATTCTAAACTAAGAAGGGCAGCCAGAGCTGAACAGCTGAATGCTAGCTGGAGCACAATCGGGTCCAATAACTACCCCATGGCTTCATCCAACCGATATCGCTCTAGATGGGATTTTGAAACAGGCCAATAAGCCTCTTCGATCTCACTCTGCTGGACAAAGGCATGCTACCAGTCACAAATAGTGCCAGGCACAGTTTGGTGATCAGTGTGATTTAAGAGATGATACCACGCTGACTTCAAAGCCAATGGACCCTTTTGCCTGGACCCTTGAATATGTTAAAGGGTAAGAAAACAAGCTTCCTATAGACTAGGTAGTATAAGAGACTGCACATACAAATATATACACAGGGAAAAAAAACATCCACTTATGGTGGAAAGTAAGGCAAAAGCACCAGCCGCAGCCTAAACTATAAACACAAACAAAGACCCCACAAAACCCCCTAAAAAAAAGAGCTCTCATTACATGCCTACCTAAAAACATGTTTAGCCTTCTGTATCATGGGATCCCAAACTTTTCAGTCCATCATCTTCAAAACATCAAAATAACAGTGCCAGAAATTTTCTACCCCCATTTTGAAAATCCGAGGGAGGGGATGCTGGGGTACCCCCTCGGTAGATTTCGCCAGTCGGGGTTGGGGAAAGCAGACAAGACCATGTTTAAATTAAAATGACAGACTTTCAATAAGCATATTCGAAAGCATAATCATGTCAAGCTCACACATCTTGATGAGAAACACTGATTTCACACAGTGATGATGGATGGTTCATTACCATATAAATATTTCTGGAGGAAAATCCAGTTGAGCTCCTACCAGGATTTTCCACTAAGAGTGGGGAGGATGTTGTTTAAACTGAGAACTTCAAGTTCTAGGAA